TCTCTCTCTCTTTCTCATAGCCCACCCCCTCCTTCCAGGTTTCAATACGTTTGTATGTATAGGGAATTTTTTCCCTAAAAGAGGTCAGTGTTCCCAGGAAGAGGCTTTATCAAAAGATCTGTGTCTCATTTAGATCTGAACACAGTCATGCTTGGGCTCAGTCTGATCTTGCCTGTTTAAGTTCCACAGCCAATGTCAAACAGCTACGAATGTTCTACTTCTGGTGTCAGCTGTCTAAACCCGGGTCTCTCTAGATGCATTGTTCCTGTACAGCTTAGCTATTTAAGAAGTTCGTGGAGGAAGAAGCAGCCTCTGAAGTTGCTAGATCCCAGTTCATCACAAGTCTGATCCAAAGCCCATTAATGTCAATGGAAAGTTTTGCAGAGAAGTGAGATGAGACTGTCAGGATTTTTGTGAGACCTAATTAGGTTTGCAGATTAGTGAACTGAGGAGAAGTGAGGTTCTACTGTGTTTCTTTCACCTGAAGGAGTGAAGTGAGGAAAGTAGTATGAAATATTTGATTTCTTTATCCTTTAGGACAAGAGGAGTTCTACAGCACTCATCCACATTTTATGACTCAGAGAGCCTTGTATCTTGCTGTTTATGATCTCAGCAAAGGACAAGCAGAAGTGGATGCTATGAAGCCATGGCTGTTTAATATCAAGGTAATAGAAGAGGTTTTTATAATATAGATTTTTAAATTCCAAGTGACTCTGTGAAAGCATCAAAGAGAATTCACTTGAAACTTTTTGTATGGGCTGCTGAGCTGGTACAAACATTAAGGTGAAGAAGTTTCTGGAATGTGTATTATTGATTATAAAAATGTCTTCATAATTTTTTGCAGACTTATAAAGAAGTGCAGTTTTCAGTTCAAATTTGTGCAGCAGGATATGCATAATGAGAATTTGGCAAGTTATGATGTTATTTTGCATAGACAAAACAGTGTAAGGGGGACCGTTAAATAGTGTATAGAGAGTTCTGAACATTGGCCCTGGTTTACTTTTCTCACTGCTGTAAACTCCAGTGAAGTCAGTAAAGTTATACTGGTTAACACACAACTGCCATGGTGGGGAACAGCTCTAGCTCCTGCTGCTGACAGCCACTGCGGCGAGGCTGAAGCCAAAGTAGTGACGGAGGTCCATTAAAGTCACAGAATCCATGACCTCCGTGATCTCATCGTATCCTTAACTATCAAGTTGAGCATTACACCCTTACTCTTTTCAGTCTAACTGTACCAGAGGTTGATCAGTACAAAGATATTAGGTTTTTTCACTCTTCTCATAACTGTTACCTGCTATTTTCCTTCACTCGTCACACAGTGTTCACATCTTGTTTCCCTGCCCCAAGGTATAAAGCCATAGTCAGTGAATTTTTAGAAAAGGCCATAACTGACATGTACTCCTTTCCCACTTTCAGTACCTCTTGTTCATTGATGCACCAGTTTGTTTGCTGAAAGATTGTATTTTCTAAAAATACGTTTGCTAGAGTATATTACTAGAGATGGAACCAAGCTGCAAAGTTTGGATTCTAGATCCCAGCTTCCCCAAGATAAAGGTGTGTTTGACTCTGTGTTTGGGATCAAACCCATTCTTGCACGTTAAAATATACTACAGACACAGATCTGTAACATTTTTATTGCCTTACCCAATCAAAACTATAAAATGGGTGTGCAGCTTCAAACGCATATACTTTCAGATTTAGTTCTTCTGATTACTCCATCAGCAGACCTAAAATATTTCCTTCTATTACATATTTTAAAAACTCAGGTTTTTTCATAAATTCTGGCAGGATGTGAATTAAAACAAATCAGTTTTTAAAGTTCCTAATATTACTCTGCCTTCACTTTTGAGAAGAAAATAGACAAATATAAATTATGACCAAAAGAGGCAGCAGTGACAAACATGGTTGCCTTTTTGTGTTCCTAGAGTTACATATGTTGTTATGATCAAATTGTTGAATTGTGTAAACATAATCAAAGAGAAAATCATGATTCAACACTGAGATAACAAACTGTGTGGATCTTATTAACAGGCTCGAGCTTCCTCATCCCCCGTGATTCTTGTTGGCACTCATTTAGATGCCTCTGGTGAGAAGCAACATAAGGCCTGTCTGAGTAAAATTACCAGAGAGCTGTTGAATAAGAGGGGTTTCCCAGCAATCAAAGAGTATCATTTTGTAAATGCTACAGAAGAATCTGATGCTATGATCAAACTTCGGAAAACCATAATAAAGGAGAGTCTGAATTTCAAGGTAAACCATATGCTGTTCTTTACATTGAAAGTTGTTGAGGAAACAGAATGTTGTAACACTTTTTTTTTTTTTTAGCTTGAAATCAAGTTAATAAAACTTACTATAATACCTCAGACGTAACAGAATGAGGAAGGCAAATCACTATCCAAAAAATATCAACAGATTTGCCTTCATTACTTTTTTTTTCAAAACTTTAGCACAGATATCATCTAAGTATAGTTTTTGTTTGTTAATATATAAGATATCAGAAATAAAACATTTAAATTGAAATAGATGAACATTTTTCTGATGGATTGTTGGATTGGTCTGATCAACAGCTACTCACTCTTGTTGAACGGCAACATACTGCCGTTAGAAATAACAGATTAAGGGAGATAGAAGAATGTTTGGGTGATGCTGGCAGTCAGCCATTTCTAAATTCTTAAACTTGCGATACTGTGATTTGCTGTAGGACTATGCTTTTGTGTCCTAAAGGTTAATCCAGGATAATGATGATAGTGGAAAGTTCATAAAGGTGAAGTGAGTTATTTTAAAGCAGCAGTTCAGAATAGGTTATGTTGAAGATAGGGGGACCAGATTCTCCCATCCACTAACTTCAATTTGCACGGTTTAAAAAATGTGTTATGAAGGGAAAAGCAAATGTACATCAGCTGGAGAAACCCCTTAGAGAATTCCCCTTATATAGGGAGAATCTCCACTGGTGTAAAACTAGTGGAGGTAGCTCTGTTGCTTTCTGCACCAGCTGCTTCACCATGTCTTGCGCAACAACATGCTTGGGTGTGTCAGGTCGGGGCCAGATGTGTTGGGAGTTGAGACAAGAGGAGTAGAGAAGCAGTGTGTAGATCAGAGGCGAGGAGGAGGGTGTACTCATGGAGGAGAGAGAGTTGCAACTGGCTCCCTGTTAGCCTTTCTCTCCATTATGCCCAAGCTGTGGTCGAGTGTAGTGGAAAATTGAGCCCAGGATTTTATACCTAGAAGTGGGTGTAGACGGTTCTTCATATAGAGACATGAAGATAGAGAATCTAATGGGAAGACAGGGTCTAGCTTCTGTTTCTGGGTCTATTTCTGCATTGTTTATGTAGTGCCATCAATGAACATGATACTTTAAAGACACAAGGAGAAATCCTGCCCCATTGAAGTTATTGGAAACTCCCATTGGCTTCATTGTAGGCAGGATTTCACCCACAGTGCCTGCCCTAATGATCTAACAGCCCAAGTAACATATTTATGTCTAGTTTTGTGCTGGTGCACCAAATGCTGGGGAAAAGTTGGAAAACCCCCTTTCTTCTCCTTTGCCACAGTGTACCAGCATAGTAACATCCATAATTTGGTTAGGTATGTTCAGCAGTGCACAGGATGGGAGCCAGCCATTGCTTATTGTCCCAGAATGGGTATGTCTGTGTGGAACAGAATAGACCCACCTCCTATACTTCAGTAAGCTACCAACAGAGCAGCACTGGGGAGAATGCAGGATACACCTTTTAAAGGTGTGCAGTCCCACATCTCGCCATATTTTCCACGGCATTCTGGAGATATTTTGCCTTAGGAAGGCAGAATTCTTAGAGGTGGTCCTCCTACCCTTACACTTCAGAGGCTATCAGGACTGTAATTTAGCATTGTGTTTAGACTTCATTGATTATAAAAAATAAGGCAGCTATAAGGAGAAAGGAGGAATTATATATTTTATAGAGCTTCTGTGAAAGGAAAATCATGAGGAAACAGGTAGGAAGATAAAGGTAAAGTTATTTAAGTTTAAAATAGGTAGCCCAAGGCTGTCAGTCTTCCAAGGGTGTAATAATATTTCTTGTCACATATAAAATCCAGCACCATGTTGTTAAGCATTTTAAGAACTTGAGCGGGAGTCTTCAGAGGAAGATTATTAACTAGATAAGTAGTTTGTGAAGCTAAATTAATACTCATGATTTCTTCTCTAGCCTCAAGGTAGAAAAGCATGTGTTACCACTGAGTAATATCAAAAGATATTTGGTTCAATAAAACATTAATGTTGATTCCAGTAAGGGATCACGGAGAACTAGAGGGGAAAGATGAAAAGAGCTGGAACAAGTCTTATGTGAACATTTTTCATATATAAGAATCTGAAAGGCTATTGATAGATATCTAAAAAATCATAGTTGCTTCAGTTTAGGTTAGTTCCAGGTAAACACCGGGGATGATATCCTGGCCCCACTGAAGCCAATTGCAAAATTTCCATTGACTTAAGTGGGGCCAGGATTTTGCCCCAATGATTAGTTCTAAGATATGTAGAACAGCATTAGGATTCTAAACTGCTGAGAGTATGTCATTGGTAAGGCTATGTTTTAGTCACGGGTATTTTTAGTAAAAGTCACAGTCAGTAAACAAAAATTCACAGCCCGTGACCTGTCCATGATTTTTACAAAAAATACCCATGACTAAAACTCGGGCGGGGTGCTGCGGGTGCTCTGGGGGAGGGGCGGTCTGGGGGACCCTGCTGGTGTGGGGGCGGGCAGTGAAGCCCAGTACCCCCACTGTTGCTGGGGTGGGCCGCGTGGCGCGGCCAATAACCCTGCTGGTGCTTGGGGGGAAAGACTGGCAGGGGCTCCCTACCTGGCTCAGTGTCCCTGCAGCTCCCAGGTGGCAGAGAGGTCAGAGGGCTAGGTGTGCTGCTCCCATCACAAGCGCCAGCTGCCGCAGCTCCCATTGGCCGGGAACCGCAGCCACTGGGAACTGCAGGGGTGGGGCCTGCAAGCGTGAGCAGAGTGCAGTGTGAAACCCTCCCCCCCGGCCCCTTCGACGTCTAGGAGCTGCAGGGCCATGGGAGCTGGGGAGCCCCCCCCACGTGAGGTAAGCGCCCCCCTCCCACACACCCAAACTGTTGCTGCTGGTGCAAGGGCTTCCCAGCTCCGGTGGTCCCTGAGCCAGCACCAGCGGCTGCAGAAGTCATGGAGGTCACGGAATCTGTGACTTCCGTGAAAGACTCGCAGCCTTAGTCACTGGTATGAATGCTTCACTTACATACAGGATTCCTGACTCAGATCTTTTCAACATTTAGCTGAACTCTGATTATTGTGGTAAGAAAGATTTGAAAAACATAATCTTTTCAGATGCCTGGTATATAATTATTTACTTTTGTATATTAATGAATTTTGGAAGTACTTTATGAAAAATTTAATTTTTAAAATATGTTCATAATGTATCTTGAAGTATTTTTTTTATTTTTGTGAATCTTTAAAAAGCGGTGGTTAGTCATCAGATAACTTTTTTTTGTTCTATTGACATTGGTTACCTGTGTTCTCTGCTTAATTTACATCTTGCATGCATCTGTCTGAAATTTAAAAGAAAAACTAAATAAAATGTGTTTTAAGATTATTATTCATAATTACACAGATCAGAGACCAGCCAGTAGTAGGACAGCTAATCCCAGACAGCTATCTGGAACTTGAGAAGATAATTTTATTCGAACGTGAAAATGTTCCAACTGAATTTCCTGTGATTGACCATAAGCAATTATTAGAACTGGTGCAAGAAAGTCAGTTACAGCTGGATGAAAATGAACTTCCTCATGCAGTTCACTTTCTGAATGAATCAGGTACTATACTCTCTTTACTGAGGTAAAGTTTGGTGCCAGCAATGTGCACCAGGCCTGCAGCAGATTGCCAGAACATGATTGACTGAAATAATAGAATCATGGGAAATGTGGGGCTGAAAGGGACCTTGAGAGGTTATCTAGTTAACCCCTTCTCCCCGCACTGAGGCAAAGCCAAGTATATCTAGTATATCTATAATCCCCAAGAGGTGTTTGTCTGATCTGTTCTTAAAAACTTCCAATGATTGGGATTCCACAACCTCCCTTGATAACCTATTCCAGTACTGAATTATCCTTATAGTTAGAAGAGTTTTCCTAATACCTAACCTAAACTTCCCTTGCCGAAGATTAAGCCCATTACTTCTCCTACCTTCAGTGGACATAGAGAACAATTGATCACTGTCCTCTTTATAACAGCCCTTAACATATTTAGTTGTGATTTTAGGTTTTAACCAATAAGCACAGATAAAACACCCCCAATACAAAAAAACATGAAATTGGTGTTTAACACCAGAAAAACACTAGAAATGGTTATTTGTATCTAAGGACTTGTGTGCACGGAACAGTAACATGGAGTACCGGGATGTGACTTGTAAAGCGCGCTAACATATTGCACATTAATTGGTCCGGGTAGACCCTGCTGTTGCACACTAGAAGTTCCCTAGTGCACATTACAAAAAGTATTGAGGATATAATTGTATTAATACTGTAATGAGCAATATGTATAATATACATTAGTCATTACAGTATATGTAAAGAGAGAGACCTGAAAGAAGAAGAAACCTCCTGTAGAAGTCTCGGCCGAGGTTTGGCCCTCAGCGGGGCTGTGGGGTATCCCACCGCCTCGCTCTGGTCCGCCGTCAGTCCTGGTCCGGCGGTAGTGTGAGACAGCAAACACACGGTTAGAGGCTCAGGCCCTGAAGCAGGGGCTGAGCCAATAGTTCAGGATCCCAGGCCCTTAAGCAGGGGCTGAGTCAGTGAGTTTGTAGCAGGCCAGGACCTAGGTCAGGGCAGGGCAGCAATCAAATAGTCAGGGACCCAGGCCCTTAAGCAGGGGCTGAGTCAATGGGTTTGTAGCAGCCCAGGCCCTAGGTCAGGGCGGGGCAGCAATCAAATAGTCAGGGACGCAGGCCCTTAAGCAGGGGCTGAGTCAATGGGTTTGTAGTCCCAGCCTCTCTAGGCCAGGAAAAGGGGGAGTCTGCCACCCAAGGGGTGGGTGGCAGGGGGGATGCAGGCCCTCCCACTCCACTGCGTCCCAGCCCGGGGCCCTAGCCGCGGCGGAAACTCGCTGCTGTCAGTGGGATCCTGGCCGCAACACACTGACATAGGCTCTGGCAGTGCTGCAGCCAGACTGGGGTCGGCTGCCCCCGGGCTACTTCCACACTCCCCCTTGTAGGGTACCTGGGCCGTACTAGAGTCCTCGGTGCTCTCCACCAGCATCGGTTCCTCCGGGTAGGTAGCGAAGGGTAGGTTTGGCTCCTCCTCGGGATAGCGGGAAAGGGGCAGGGCTCGGCTCCTCCTCGGGGTAGCTGGAAAGGGGCAGGCTCGGCTCCTCCTTGGGGTAGCTGGAAAGGGGCAGGCTCGGCCAGTCCTCCTCGGGGTAGCGGGCGAGGAGTAGGCTCGGCTGGCCTGGTGAGTCAGCAGGCCGGTCGCGATCTGCTGCTGTCTCCCAAGCGGGAGCTCGGCCTCAGACGTCTGCTCTCTCTGCCGGCTTGTTCTCCACTGAGCTCTGCAGGCGGGCTTTTATACTTCCGGGTCGGCGCCGTGACCTCTGAGGGGTGGGCGCCGGACCCGGTGGCTCTGCCCATGTTGATGTTAGGGGAGGTTCGGCGCTCAGCGGGGCTGTGGGGTATCCCACCACCTCGCTACACCCCCCCATTTCTGAACAATTACATAAAACTCAAACATTGCTAAAAAATAAACCTTCAAAAATTAAATTACTAAACCCTGATAAACAGGAGCCCTAAACATATTAGAAGACTTTGATCAGGCCCCCCTCAGTTTCTTTTCTCAAGACTAAATATACCCAGTTATTTTAACCTTTCCTTATAGGTCAGATGTCTAAATCTTATCATTTTTGTTGCTGTTCTCTGGACTCTCTCCAGTTTATCCACATCTTTCTTAAAGTCTGGCACCCAAAACTGAAGACAGTACTCCAGCTGAGGACTCACTAGTGCCAAGTAGAGCAGAATAAATACCTCCCATATCTTACATATGACAGTCCTTTTATTAGACCCCAGAATATTAGCCTTTTTTTGCAACTGCATCACATCTTTGGCTGGTATTCTATTTGTGATCCACTATAAGATCCATTTCTGCAATACTACTGCCTAGTCACTTATTCCCCATTTTGTAGTTGTGGATTTGATTTTTCCTTCCTCCGTATAGTACTTTGCATTTTCAGTATCGTTATTGAATTTCATGTTGTTGATTTCAGATCAATTCTCCAATTTGTCAAAGTCATTTTTAATTCTAATCCTGTCCTACAAAGTGCAAGCAATACTCCCCTCCCAGCTCGGTGTCATCCACAAATTTTATAAGCATACTCCTCACTCCATTATCCAAGTAATGAATTTAAATGTTGAATAGTACTGGACCCAGGACTGAGCCGTGTGGGACCCCACTAAACACCGCCTTCCAGTTTGACAGCAAATCATTGATAATTCTTCTTCAAGTGACTGCATATGTCAGTTTCACTGTAGGTGTGTACATGCCTTGTACACAGATGTCAGAGACTTTTTTCCCCATCAGTACACATTGGGGTGGCTCGAGAACCCCCCTGTCGCCTTGTGCCACTGAGTGCTCGTATTAAAGGGCGGAGCTGCCCTCAAGCCATCTCAGTTCTTTCTTATGACCAGTGATAGTTGTTGAAGCAATCTCAGATTTGTTTACTCAAGTGCTTCCCTTGTTGTAAATAGTTGAAGTTAATTATTGTTAGTTTTTCAAGTTAGTTAGCACTAGGTTTCCGTGTTTTGTGTCCTTTGGGACTGTTCCTTTCTTTTCAGTACTGGGCTCGGTACCAGAACAATGCCTTACTCCCCAGGGTTCAAGTCCTGTGGGATGTGTTCAAAGTCCATGCTGATCAGTGATCCTCATCTGACCTGCCTGAAGTGCTTGGCTGAGGCCCACATTAGTGACAATTGTCACATCTGCAAGGGCTTCAAACCCCATTCACAAAAAGATAGAGCAGCAAGGCTTAAGTGCTTGCTTATGGAAGCAGCACTTTGACTCCCAGCTGAGGCATTGCATGGGGAGAGTGGCCTCCACTTCAGGTTCAGGTTGCATCCTCTTCTTCATCACCAAGATGATGCTGTTGTTTCAGTGGGAGATTCGCCTCCTCCAGAAGAACACAGGACCCATCAAGACCTCCTGAAAATAGTGGCCTTGATGCTTGACATCCAGCCAGAAGAGGTATGTTAGAGTTCTCACAAGTTGGGGGACATCCTGGTGTCTGCCACCCTGGCTAAGGTTGCTCTGCCAATCAACAAGGCAATCATGGAGCCTGTCAAGACTCTTTGGCAGAAACCTTCTTCCCTGTCTCCCAAAGCAAAACGAGAAAGCTAGGGACAACAAGCCTCCACACCTATAAGCAAGGACTCAAAAAAACTAGAATTGTTTGGTCACAAACTTTATTCCTCAGTGGGCCTAGAGCTCAGAGTCGCAAACCAGCAGGCACTCCTGAGTCAATACAATTATACAGTCTGGGGGAATATTGCTAAATTCAAGGACTAATTACCAGAGGATTGCAAGCAAAAGTTCTCAGTAGTTGTGGAGGAGTGTGGACTGCCCTCCAGGACAGTCTGGATAGTGCAGATTCAGCTGCCCAAACCATGGCATCAGCGATCACTGTGAGAAGGTGTTCATGGTTACAGTCATCCAGAATACATGCTGAAGTCCAACAGACCATAGAGGTCCTTTCGTTTGAAGGCCCTACTCTCCAAGAAAACTGTTCTCCAAGAAAACTGATCACAAGCTTCACAGCCGTACGTCTTCCAGGGCAACACTCAAATCTCTTGGAATCTACACTCCAGTAACAAAAAGAAAGCATTTTGTCAACAACCTTTTTGACAGCATACCTTTGCTCCCCATTCCCAAGATCCACCTAAGAAAAAATTCACTGGAGCAGTCCTTGACTCCACAAAGGCTAGGATTTTCATGCCACAAACCGGATTTGAAACCATTCGATATCTAGTACTGTACTTGAAATGAAAGTTTATCCACTCATGACAGCATGCAAGTGCCTCAGCCTGTTATGTCACATAGCACCATGTACCTATATAGTGTAGTACGCCAGGCTGCAGTTCAGGATGCTGCAGACATGGCTAGCATCAGTATATGCTCCAAGCCAGAGCTAGTCCTGTTGTCTGTGGATTGTGGACAGAACCTCTAAAAGTTTGCATGGGAGTTCCCTTCCTTCCCACATGACCAATACTCATCCTAGTCACAGACACATCTCTAGGTTGGTGGGCTGACATTGGGTCCCTGAAGCCTCAAGGTCTTTGATCGTCTTGAGAGCTAGAGGCTCACCTAAATGTCAGGGAGTTAAGAGCAGTACATCTAGCCTGCTCAACTTTCCCCCCACACATAGTGGGGAAAAATCTACTGAGTATGACATACAACTCAGCGACTGTATTTTACATAAACACGCAAGAAGGGGCAGGGTCAAACCAACTCTTCCAGGAAACAATTAATCTTCTGTATAACCTCCTCAATTCAAAGCTGCTTACCTTCTGGGGAAACAAAAGAGGCTGACTGATCAACACTAGTGGTCATTATGCCCAGGCATAGCCAGGTCCATCTTCCAACTCTGGGGGATTCCCCAAGTGAACCTTTTTGGGACATGGGCCAACAGAAAATGCCATCAGTTCTGTTCCTGCAGGGAGGGAGGGAGGTCCCAGCCCAGGCTCCCTAATAGATGCCTTTCTCTTGTCCAGGGAAAATTACCTTCTATACACCTTCCCTCCGATTCCTTTGCTCCACAGAGTCATATCCAAAATAAAAAGGGACCATGCTCATCTTACTCTTTATAGAGCCAGCATGGCCCTGTCAATACTGGTACTCAGTCCCACTGATATGCTCAATAGAGCTTCCTCTATCCCTCCTGTTGGATCCAGATGTAATTTCCTGAGACCATGGTCGTGTTCTCCACTCCAACCTCCAAGCTCTCTCATAGTGTGGATGCTTCATGGCTGATGCCCTTTGAAAGGTCCTGCTCACAGAATATCCAAAATGTACTTTTAAATAGTAGAAAACACTCAACTAGGACCACCTGGCTAAGTGGAAGCACTTCTCCAATTGGCCTCGTGGGAAAGGCATGTCTCCTTGGCAAGCACCCCTGTATGTTGTTCTGAACTATATTCTGATCTAAAACAGAACCTGACTATTAGTTCTGTAAGGGTGCATTTGGCTGCTATCTCAGCTTTCCATATACAGATGGATAACAGGCCTCTCTCTTCCCAACACCATTATTGCTCGATTCCTGAAAGTCCTGGCCAGATTACTCTAAAGTTTGGGACCCTGTCCCTCCTTGCTATCTCGAGTTAGTCCTGGCAACTCTAATGGGACCTCCCTTTGAACCACTCACACCTTGCTCCCTCCATTATCTGTATGTGAAGGTGGCCTTTTTAATAGTGATCAACTCAGCAAGATGGTTGATGAGTTGAGAGCTTTGGAGTCAGAACCCCCTTATACAATTTTTATAAGGATTAAGGTTTATCTCCAGCTGAACCCAAAGATCCTTACAAAAGTAGTTTCTAATTTTCACTTTAACCAAGTTTGCCCACATTTTTTATAAAACCCCATCACCATAAGCAAGGAGGAAGGTTTCACTCACTGGATGTGAGAAGAGCGTTAGCTTTCAACCTAGAGCATACTAAATCATTCCGGAGTTCTAAACAGGTTTTTGTCATGGTTGCTGACAGTGTTAAGAGCAATCCAGTCTCCTCCCAGAGGATCTCCTCCTGGATCTCTTCCTGCATCCGTTTATGCTACCAACTGACTAACATGATCTCACCAGCTAGCATGCTGGTGCACTCTACTAGAGCTTAAGCAACTTCTGCAGCTTTCCTGGCTCGAGTACCCATTATCGACATATGTAAAGCAGCGATCAGTCTTCAGTCCACACCTTCACTTTTCATTACGTCATTACCTCTCAGTCCAAAGATGATGCCAGTTTCAGGCAGTGATTCTACAATCACTTTTCAGATAGACACTCAACCCACCTACATAGCTGTTTGTGTGAGAGTTACCTACAGTGGAATTGACACGCGCAAGCACTCGAAGAAAAAAAACTGTTATCTGCCTTTCCGTAACTGTTCTTCTTCAAGATGTGTGGCACTTGTCCATTCCATAACCCACCCACCTTCCCCTGTCTATTGGAGTGCATCTGGTACGAAGGAAATGAGGTGGGCCAGGGGCTGCTCCACCCTCTTATACCAGCACATGGTGGCGCCCAGCAAGAGGGGGTACTTGAGCCACCCGAACAGGTACTGCTAAGGGGAAAAAAGTCTCCAACATCTGTGCATGAGGTGCACATACACCTGCAGTGGAATGGACATGTGCAACACATCTCAAAGACCAACTGTTATAGAAAGGTAGGTAACTGTTTCTTACTCTTTGAGTATGGATTTTCAACCAGTTATGCAGCCACCTTATAGTAATATCATCTAGACCACATTTCCCTAGTTTGTTTATGGGAATGTCATGTGGGACTCTATCAAAAACCTTACTAAAATCAAGATATATGACTTCTACTGCTTCCCCTGTCAAAGGAGAAAATTAGTTTGGTCTGAAATTATTTGTTCTTGACATTACATGTTGGCTATTATTTATCACCTTATGATCCTCTAGGTACTGTTATTCTTGTTTATGATTTCATTTTGTTATCTTAAAATTTTATAACCTAAGGGAAAGATCATGTGAAGGATTAATCTGCTTACAACTTATGTCCCTTAACTTTATTTGAAAGTAATAAACCTGCAGAACAGAGAAGAGGATTCAGGAGGAAAAATAAGATCACTAGGACAGCCTGTGATTGGGACAGCCATTATACAACATAGTTAACACAGTATCTCAGTACTATACAGACTATATAATTGAGGATACTTAGACTAAAATAATAATTAACACTGAGCATTCACATTGAGCATATTAGATATTTGACAGGAGTAGGTCAGATTATGACTAAAAATACGGCACCAGGAAATAATGGAAAAGATGACCATATCATGACTGCACTCTGATACTTTTACCAAACTTAAGAATAACTCAAGGTATCTACCATTTAATATGCCTTTAATCAGAAGAGCGGGAAAAAGGCAGCCCAGAATTGTCTAAAAGCAACGCCCTTCTTTTCTTTTGTTTCATATGGATGTTGTGTGATATTATTCTAATTACAATATTATTATTATAGGCGTACTGCTACATTTTCAAGACCCAGCACTTCAGCTAACAGATCTGTATTTTGTGGACCCTAAGTGGCTGTGTAAAATCATGGCACAGGTTAGCTTCTCATTATATTTTTTGTATCCCTTTATTCAACTCTTTCCTCCATCCCCAACTACTGTAGCTGACTTGGCCTCATTTTGTTCTATTTCTTCCCAGTTTCATGACCCATTCCCTTTCACAGCTCCCCAATTTGGCCTGCATGACTCCTTCTGCTGCCTTTTAAATATGCATTCTAGGGTTCAAGTGTACCCCAATGCCTCCATTCTCAGTTCTCTTACTCTCTGGTGTCTGATAGTCCTCACAGTCAGTTAGGTCCCAGAACATGTGTAAAATGAAATGGAGATCCCAGGTAAGAGGTAGCTTAATCCTGCAACAAATTGTTAAAGGCTGGAGTTCTGGCACAAAGCAATAACAGTAACCTGGAATGGTGGGGAAGAAGGGTAATTGGACCCTGCTGTCGAAGGAAGAAGAGGATGGGTTGTACTGACCTGTATATTGGGACAGGTGAGGGGCAAAAGGACTGCTAGGAGGGTCTACCTGGAAAGAATCCACCATTGGTTTGGTTTATTTGGAAAAGCTTCCAAACTTTTAGATGTTTATTCAGACTTCCAAATCTTTGAAGATTTGTTCTTCACTAATTAACATGTGGAATAACTTCCCATATGATATGCGGTAGGAGGAGCCACTAAAGTACACTACTACACTACAGTGAATGAAGAGGTAGCTAAGTAGTATCATCGGATATACTGTTCAGAACTGTTAGCTTGTGTTCAGATGGCTGTCATTGCTGAAATGCTGAGTTTTACTATGAATAGGATTATTAATTTTTGTAAATAATACTAGTAATATATTGCAGAAAACTATTTTTGTCAGAAAAATGCAATCCAATTATGACTGCAGAGTTGAAATTATTTTACTTTTTTAAAAGATTTTGACAGTGAAGGTGGAAGGCTTTCCTAAATACCCTAAAGGAATTATAAAGCGTTCAGATGTGGAAAAATTCCTTTTAAAGAAGAGCAGATTCCCTAAGATCTACATGTCACAATACTTTAAGCTTCTGGAAAAGTTCCAAATTGCATTGCCATTAGGAGAAGATCAACTACTTGTTCCAAGCAGGTAAAAAAGAGAGAGAACCACAAATGTGCCATGGAAATATACCAAGATCAAAAACTCTGATATTCTCAGGCTGTAATGATATTTCTAGCTGTTTGATATCAAAGCAATTTCCCCTTAGTGAGCAAGACTTTGATTTTATTATGTTAGATTTGTATACTATTCCATTTCTTCTCATAAAAGTTAAAGTGATCTTGTAGTAAACAAAGTTTATATCTAGGGCCCTATCAAATTCCTGGCCATGAAAAACACATCATGAACCGTGAAATCTGGTCTCCCCCTGTGAAATCTGTTTTTTGTGTGTGTGCTTTTACCTTAAACTATACAGATTTCACAGGGGGAGACCAGCGTTTCTGAAATTGGGGGTCCTGACCCAATAGGGAGTTGCAGGGGGGGGGTCACGGTATTGCCACCCTTACTTCTGTGCTGCCTTCAGAGCTGGCCAAAGAGTGGTGGCTGTTAGCCGGCCAGCTCTGAAGGCAGCATCCCGCCGGCAGCATCCTGCCAGCAGCAGCGCAAAAGTAAGGGTGGCAATACTATACCATGCCGCCCTTACTTCTTTGCTGCTGCCTTCAGAGCTGGGTGCCCAGAGAGTGGCAGCTGCTGAGTGAGGGCCCAGTTCTGCAAGCAGCAGCACAGAAGTAAGGGTGGCCATACCATGCCATCCTTACTTCTGCGCTGCTGCTGGCAGCAGCTCTGCCTTCAGAGATGGGCTTCTGGCCAGCAGCCGCCGCTCTCCAGCTGCTCAGCTCTGAAGGCAGCTCCGCTATCAGCAGCAGCACAGAAGTAAGGGTAGCAGTATCGCAACCCCCTCTACAATAACCTTGCGACCCCCACCCCAACTGCTTTTTGGGTCAGGACCCCTAATATTACAACAACATGAAATTTCAGATTTAAATAGCTGAAATAATGAAATTTATGATTTTTAAAAGCCTATGACCATGAAATTGAGCAAAATAGACTGTGAATTTGGTAGGGCCCTAATTGTATCCTATTAGCACAATGAAAAATGACACATATAAAAGGCAAAATATTTTGTGAGAATACAATTTCTTTTACAATGAGACCACAATAGCAAAATATCTCATATTACTAATGATCAAATCATCCAGATAGCACCAATATATACAGATACTCATTTCAATATAAGTCATAAACATTAGTATTTATAAACTGTTTGGTTTAAGTCAAGGCCACAACAGGAAGGAGTTGCACTGCTCAAGCAGAGATGCCTGGAGGCATTATGCCTTTGAATCGTCTGATGGTTTAACCATAATACTGGAAATCCAGAGTTCTGAGTTGTAATGCCAGTGTTGAAACCCTCTTTTTGCATGAGCTATTACAGGTCACATGGGCTCTCTGCCTCAGCTTTTACACCAGTGCAATGTAGATACTAACCCTTACCTTCCTTAAAGGATGGAGTGTTGTGTGGATTAATTGATTAATCCCTCTGAAACTCCTCAGAGTCATTGGATGGGTGATGTTATATAAGTGCAAGATAAGAATTATATTTATATCAATTTTTTCACACACTTATATCCTTGGATAGCTCCCTGAAATCACTGGGACTGCATGCGGTTTAAATTGAGCAGAAATTGTCCATCAACATGAAAAATAAACAAACGCACTGGTACAGATAAACCCCAATAATCTGCCCCCTGCTTACGTGATTTGGGGATGCATTCATTTCTGACATTCATTCATCGATATATCTAACAAATAATCAGCTGTACAATAATTCTCATTTTAGACTATGTAATTAGTAATTCTGGAAGTAGTAAATTATGAAATACGGGAAAATAATGTTCCTGTTTTTTTCAGTTTGTCTGATCACAGACCTGTTATAGAACTTCCCCACTGTAAAAACTCAGAAATCATCATTAGGCTGTATGAGATGCCGTACTTTCCCATGGGGTTCTGGTCCAGACTGATCAACAGGCTGCTTGAAGTATCTCCTTACATGCTCTCAGGAAGAGGTACTGACATTTAACTTCAAAACTATCAATGTGTGTGTTTACCTTGAACACCTAGTAGCCATGGGGTTGAGTTCAGGTCTACAGATTCAAATTCTAATTCCTACCACTTTCCTGAAATTTTGTGTTTTATGTTTTTGTTTTGGGCTCATCTCTGGCCATTTTACAAGTGTAAGAAGACAAAATAGTGGCCCTTACTTCTAACTTAAAAACTCTTAGGAACACTTTGTGCCTGCCCTCTGTGTGAGTGAGAAAGGGAGAATGAAAGCAGGCTCTTGCTCTCTTCCGCTCCCTCTCTCCCCAGCACCACCATGCGCGCGCACACACACACACACACACACAGGAAATCTTTGCATTTAAGCACTGTTAGAATTAGTTTCTGCAAAAATGGTAGGAAAAAGCAGGGAGGAAGTGGAGTCATTGTCTCCTCCTACTCCACATTACCCAGCGTAGCTGGCTGAGCATAGAGGGGAATAGATGCTACACCGGGGGTAATGCAGTTGCTGTTCTTCCCTGGAGACCCCCCTCATCTTTAAAAAACACTGTGCCTACTTAGACATGGTGCCTCTTGGATTTCCTGCTAAGGTAGTGTGCCTCCATATGGCACCCGATACAGAGCTATGGCTGTATGACAGAATTCTGCCCTTAATGGGAATAAACCTGGCTATATTGAACACATCCTCTGAGCCTCATCTTGTGGGATACTTGCACTCTGACACCCATCTCCTTCTAGGAGTTCTACCATTGACAACAAGTTTTGTTGTTTTGGCTCCTGGGGCATGAAATTCATTGCCCTTACACATTTGCTGGTGCTAGGGTGACGAGACGTCCCGATAAAATCGGGACCGTCCCGATATTTAGGTGTTTGTCCCATGTCCCGACCGATCTTTGGTCGTTGGTCGGGATGCAATTTGTCCCGATATTTCGCTCCGCCGGCAGCACTGGTTTGTTTGTTTTTCGCTCCGCCGGCAAGCAGCACTCGGCTTTTTTTTTTTTTTTTTTTTTTTTCGTTCCTCCGGCGCCCCCCCACACCTCACATGTCCCCATATTTTCTTCCTCTCATCTGGTCACCCTAGCTGGTGCCCATCTCTTCCCCCTTTTAAAAAAATTCTGCAGACTCTATTTTTATCAGACCTATTTTTAAATCACTCTCAGTCCATACAAAGGGCCTACTCCCCTCCCCCCCTTCTTAATTAAGCCAGTTCACTGGGCTTTTTAATTTTTATTTTTTTTAACATACGAGCATTAGCTGCAGCTAGACGATTCACGCAAATGTATCTTTGGTAATGCCCTTCAAATTTGATTTACCACACCTCTGCTATTCTGGCAACTGATCTCTCCTGGGCACACCATTCCAGTCACATCAGGCTGTGGTGCGTATGTAATGTAGACATGTCCGCTAGGGAGAAAATGGAAGACACCAAATGATTTTATTTATTGCCTAAGAAACTTTATATTTGAGTCCAGTTTGCCAGCACTTCAAGATCTGTACTTGACCTACATTCACCAACTAGTCCATGAGCTGAGTCAATATTTAGTATTCTTGTATTCTTTTAGTATTGGTGGAGTGGTCAGAAACGTGATTAGTATGTTCAGCTTTTCTGGTGATGCACAATTGCATGCAAAGATGCATTGGTTGTTTGTGTTGTATAAATATGTATAAATATATAAAACCACAAGTACATGCTTAGAATAGTATTTTTGGAATGTTCAGCCCAATTTGTAGAGTTCATATTAAAGGTCTGACTTTGACTAACTTTGTTTTTCCTAGAACGAGCTCTTCGTCCTAATAGAATGTATTGGAGACAAGGCATTTACCTGAACTGGTCTCCTGAAGCTTACTGTCTAGTGGAATCAGCAGTATTTGATAGCAATCCAGACAGTTTTTTGAAAATTACAGCTCCTTCTTGCAGAAAAGGTTAAATTATTCCTAAATATCTTCTTGTATCTGCTGTTTGAGTTAAACTTGGTGCATTTGTTCATTTTGCTTGCTCCTTTCAGAACATGCAGTATGTTTTTATAATCGCAGATATGAGACTGTGGTTCTAATTACCCTTTTTTTTTTTTTTGGCTTTTTACAGGTTGTGTCCTTTTGGGGCAAGTTGTGGATCACATTGATTCTCTTGTGGAAGAATGGTTTCCAGGTTTACTGGATATAGATGTATGTGGTGAAGGGGAAACACTGTTGAAGAAATGGGCTTTGTGTAGCTTTGAGGATGGCAAAGAACACCAAAAAATATTACTTGATGATTTACTTAAAAAAGTTGAAGAAGGTATATACTGTTTTAATTAAGCTAATTAGAGTACCTGTATAAATAAGTATTTATACAGTAATTCCTCGCTTAACGTTTTAGTTGTATTCCTGAAAAATGCTACTTTAAGCAAAACGATGTTAAGCGAATCCAATTTCCCCATAAGAATTAATGTAAATAGGGGAGGTTAGGTTCCAGGGAAATTTTTTTCACCAGACAAAAGACATATACAGACACACACAGACACACACACAGTATAGGTTTTAAACAAACAATTTAATACCGTACACAGCAATGATGATTGTGAAGCTTGGTTGAGGTGGTGAAGTCAGAGGGTGGGATATTTCCCAGGGAATGCCTCACTGCTAAATGATGAACTAGCACTCGGCTGAGCCCTCAAGGGTTAACACGTTGTTAATGTAGCCTCACACTCCACAAGGCAGCACGAATGGAGTGAGGGGAGACAGCATGGCAGAGAGGTACAGAGACACACACCATGTGTGTGAGAGAGAGAAACGCGCATTGCCCCTTTAAGTACGCTGACCCCACTCTAACTACACTGCCGTTTTAAGTAGATCAGCAAGTTGAGACAGCAGCTGCTGCCAGCAAGCTCCCTCTCTGCTGACCCTGTTGGTCCTCCCCCGTTCTGTAGAAATGGGGGCAGGAGCAGGGGGACACTCTGACATTAGCACCCCTTCCCCCCCCACCCCCCGCACAGCAAGCAGGAGGCTCCCAGGAATAGCTCCAAGGCAGAGGGCAGGAGCAGCACAGGACAGTGTGGGGAGGGACCGCTGAACTGCCCAGCAATTGATAGCCTGCTGAGCGGCTGCCGCACAGGGAACATAGGGGAGCAGGGAACTGATGGGGGGGGGGGGCTGTCGGTCCACCCTGGTTCCAAGCCCCCACCAGCTAGCTCCAACGGGCAGCTCTTTCTGCAAGCAGTGGACAAAGCAGGCGGCTGCAAAACAACGTGTTGTGGAAAATTGACCACATGGTTGATTTTGGATCAGACAGCCTGAGGCTCCTTTATTGATCAATCAAATATGCACGCATGGGGGAGTCAGCCAAGGCAGCCGAACCCCCCCGACAGATAAAATGCGAGAGTTTATATAGGATAAAACCACAAAAATTACATATACTTCCTTAAAGTTTTGCATCCATATAAGGAATAAAGCAAAACAAGCCTTTTCTGTTTTTCCTTCCTTTTGCCCTTTGCGGTTTCTTGTTCTGTCACCTGGCAGCTATTAATCATAGTCTGTTACAAAGGTTAATTCTACTTTTATAATTTCTACAGTTACTTCTGCTTTTATAGTTTCTACAGTTCTGCTTTTATGATTTCTCTTTACCCTACTTTTTCTATCTTCCCCCCCCTCCTCCCCTTTTCTACCTTCAGGCCATACTTTACAGACTGCTTAACTAAGTTTAGGCCCTGACCATTTTTTCCCCCACAGTCCGCCCCTTTATGGCGCCATCTTTGGCCTAAACTTCCACATTCATGAGCCCATTGATTTCCTTCCTTTCCTTTTCCTTTTTCTCATCCCAACTTTTGTCAAAAATTTCATTAACAATTATCAATGCCACTTGCTCCCTTACGCTGGGCTTGGCAAAAAATTACAAGCACAGCAGTGTTTTTTGCAACAGCAATAACAGAGGCATAATCCCAAACCAACCAACGCCACTACACGTGTTAGTCCACTTATGGTGACAATACGATGGGGTTCGTGCACAATTTTGGTTACCGCACACAACACATCTTGACTAATACACAAAGAAGACAGTCTATAGGCTGTTTGAAAGGAACCCTTTTCTATCTGATATATATTTTCAAGGATATGAATTTGCCCTTGTAAATCAGAAATTTTTTGCACTTCTGGTAACAATGAAAGCAGATTTTGGAAATGGTCGGGAACCAGGGTCGTCCAGTTAAAGGGCATTTTATACCTGAGAGTGGATTGCAAATTTTTATCCGCAGGCCAATAGATAATATGGCTGCCTGCAGTTGTAGTGAGGTTAAAATGGGCATCGTGTACAATATGGGCCTTAACAAATACACAACTGTTATTAGCCTGAAAGAACATGTCTCCTGTCAGGAGGGTTCCTAGTCCCTTACCCTCCCAACAAAAATGGTCATGGACAGTGATAATTTCCCCTGGCTTTAATTTATGTATGCATTGAAGCTGTGGGGGTTTTAATGGCCAGAGTGTCCATTGGTTTCTTATCCCAATCCAAATATTGGGTGTTATTTTAGGAGCACTGACTATGAATCGGTTAGGCATACCAGGTGGCTTGATTTTCCAAATGTCTCGGTGAATAACCCAATCCCACATGCATCCTCCCCATGGACCCGGCAGGATTCGGTAAGTGGGGGCCCACACCCCTTTAACCGGTCCATAGGCTTGGAAGGAGCACTGTGACTGTCCACACCTCCACCCAGAAAATCTCCAAGTATGCCTCCATGGCCAGAGATTAGATGGTACTCCTGAGGTGTCTGTCTCAGTCAGCAACTCCTGGGTTATTGAACTAAGGGCGGAAATGACATGCAATTCACCAGTTCCAGCCTGAACCTTAGTTAGTTGTGCTCCAGAAATAAGACTAGTGGCCTTTTCCAATTGGCCTATTTTTCCCCTCATGCTGTTGGCTTTTGTGGATATTCCAAATTGCAACTGCGCTATTAGCCCCATCCCACAAGTGTTCAGTCAAATCTCTTTTCTTTTTGGGAGAAGCCCAAGCCTTTTGTTGAGCTAATTTGAGGGCAGCCCCATTTGAGCAATTATGGTAAATAGCAGTGACCTAAAAACTGATGGTCCCCAGTGTGGCATTAATTATGGTCCATCGATATCCTGACACATGTCTCCTTGGGGTAGTCTTATACCACATTTCCTGGCTGGATACCGTTATATATTTTTGTGAGGCATTAACGTCAAGGGCATAGGAAGGGGCATATTGCAATAGGGTACAGGTTACATTATTGGTCACAGGGATTATCTGAGTACAGGTAAAATTCCTAGTGACAGAGAAGAGTCTTTGGGTACATATTTGACCATCTACCAATTGGGTGATCAAATAACAAAAGGGACCCTTTCCGGTTAATGTTTTACATATTCTAGGAATGGCCATCATATCCACCTTCTATAAAATCCAATAATCTTAAGCTCTGATTTTCGGGGCTCTTTGGTAGTAATGTCATACATTTCTATTTCCACCATTCCATTTGTTTTCCATTCGATGGTTCGTTCATAAAACCTATTTTGAACGTTAAAAAATAGCTTTCTTGAAAAAAATTCTAACAAATCACTGAGATGGGAGGGTCTTGGCCAGTGGATTTCAGTAGACTACACAGGTCTATTTGTGTTTGGATAAACCACAGGGGCAGGAGCAATGGTGGGAGGAATACTTGAGGCAGTGAGGAGCTTTTGGTATTTGTTATCTGGAAGCCAATTAGGGAGGGCAGTACATGCTGACGGTACTTGTCCAAAAACACAGGGCGCAGCCTGTGGAATAAACCCCAAGACCCAATTAATATCACATTCCCAAGAATGGCTCCCACAAGCCTCCCGCCCCCCCGCCCCCCCGCCAATGTATAATACTTCGTTTTTTATACCAGGGCCAATTCTTAATGTCTCTTATAGTCACGAATTCCTGGACTTTAGTGGTTTCAGTGGAGCGAGTGTTCCTTCTTCTTTCTTGGAACAGCCGTGGTTTAGCATTATGCAGGGGAGAGGTTACTAGCACATCACCCTGTAATGGTTTGGTTCTTCTAGCAAAGTTCAAATGCATAATACGTCTGTCAATGGACAAGAGAGAGGTCACCTTGTCCTTTTCTCCTGCTGTCCAGAAGAAACAGCAGCACCAGAAGGAGAGACAGCCGATCATCAGTCGGAGAATCATGTCACGGTGGAGGGGCGTTTTTGCAGTGCGAAGCGTGGGTCCAGGCAGTCAGTTCTTGACACTTCACAGTGTTGGTTGTTAACAGGACTTGGTATGGGCCTTTCCAGTGCGGGGCCAGGGCGGTCTTTTGCTGTTGGACCTTTATATAGACCCAGTCTCCTGGTTCCAGCGAATGGCAGGGTTGCTCAGGATCCTTGGGTGTATTTTTTTCACCTATATATAAAAAAACCTAACACATTTCATTAGTTCCTGGCGATAATCAAGCATTGTGTCATCCATTAAATGAATGTTCATCTGAGCCAGGGCCAGTGGGAGCGCAGCCAGTAGTTGTATCGGGTGCCCTGTTAGAATCTCATGAGGGCTGAGTCCAGTCTTTTGATTGGGAGTGGCCTTCAAAGGGCATTTGGCCATACTGGATCTGTGAAGCTGCACATAACTCTTTTATAATCTGTCCAGATATGCCAGATTGTGATACAAAATCCTTAAGCAAAAGTTTTACAACTGTTTTGGCATTCGCCTTTTTTACAAGGAAATACATTACTAAAACTAACACATATTTACAATTACAACATTTAAACATTTGAATAAAATCAATCTGAATACTTACAAAACGTCCCCAGGGTAGGGGACGCGCTGCTTGCCTAACTTTGACAGCTTTACCAACATTATGTTGCTGGTTAAGGTCTCTCCCTCCCTGTCGATCATGCCAACCAGGTTTGGTGCATTGGGTCTGCCCAACCCGTTAAGATTTGCCTAAACCCAGCAAGACCCCTTCCCAAGGTGTAGCAGTATCCTCTATCAAAACAGGCCAAGGAAGAATCCAATCTGTTATTATCTCCTTAATTTAAAAATAAGTCATTATTTCTATGGTCAGTAAGTGTGACTCCCCCGTTTTATCGTGCTGTTCATGCTGTTCTTCCTTCCTTTCTCATTGTCCCTAGCCCTGTTATTATCCTTTTTTATAATGCACCGGTGCTGAGGGGTTGTTACTGCCTCAAGGAAAGGTTGTATTAAGTCCGGACATAAAGAATTAAGGTTATTATTAAATAAGATGCATCTAGATGTAATGTGTGTATGTAAATAGGTGTGTATAAATAGATAAAAGGGGGGTTAGTCAAAAAGCCCACCCTCCTTGCTAAATTGGTAGTGAAACAATGCCTGTGCCCATGGAAAAATAATAATGCAACAAGGAAAAAAGGATCGGGCCCAGACAAGCAGGCAACCACAGTTTGAGGAAGTTGAAAGAAACAAAGTAAGAAGTTAACTCTATAGATATTGAAAGGAATTAAGCAGTAAAACTTTGTATAAATGTTAAAAGAAAATGTTATAAAAGAAAAATTCTTGGTTTCTTTGCAGCCATTCCTTTAGGAATGTCTGTAAATAATCCAGGCAAGAGGTTATTTAAGTAAAATCATTTGACTATAAAAAGTTAGTCAAATGATTTTACTTAAATAATCCAGGCAAGAGGTTATTTACAGACATTCCTAAAGGAATGGCTGCAAAGAAACCAAGAATTCTACTTTTATAATTTCTACAATTAGTTCTGCTTTTATACTTTCTACAGTTAGTTCTGCTTTTATGATTTCTCTTTACCCTACTTTTTCTATCTCACTCCCCCCCCCTTTTCTACCTTCAGGCCATACTTTACAGACTGCTTAACTAAGTTTAGGCCCTGACCATTTTTCCCCCCACAAACGTTGGAAGGGAGCATTGCGCAACAAGCATGGTCTCTAATTGAACAGCAACGTAACAACGGTAACTGGGACAATGTTAAGTGAGGAGTTACTGTACATGATCCCATTGCCATAGCATTTAGACTCCTCACATTATTTAAGAACACTTGATTAAAATAAACAATACCATCCTTATAATGTGATTCAACAACCACAGCTTTTTTGTCCTAATGTCTTTGTATTACAATACAGTATGGGCCAGATTGTGGCTAGCCCCTGCATTGGGGTACAAAGTGGGAGGGTTGAAAGAGACACTCGCCTTCTCATCCACGGGACCTGATCCAGCAAAGCTTATTCATGTGATTAATTCTGACTCATGTTAGTACTGCAGTGGACATTAGTCCTGTTGATTGGATCCTGTACAATGGTCACAATTAAAAAGGCAATATTAGCCAATAGGTACTACACAGTTACTAGAGTTATTTCCTATTCTACTTACACAGAAAAAATGTGGTATCTCAGTTAGCTTAATGCTGTATGGTAACTGTTGACAAAGGCTAGTTTTTAATGTTGACGACTGCATATGCCATTAAACCATGGTTTGGAATTATTTACACATGCAAGAAATGTATATAAATTGGAGAAGTATATTCAGTTGTCACTAGTTACTACACAAATGCAAAGTTCATATGAAGTGCATTAGTTGTATACATAAATAGAGAGAGATATGTACACTTCACTCAGTTTAGTGTGGTGAATATGCTATTTTATCTGCTTTTCAACTGCATCTTTTTTTTTTTCCTTACTTAGGTGATCTCTTAGTAAATCCAGATCAACCAAGATTTACCATTCCAATAGCCCAGATTGCTCCTGACCTGATATTGGCTGATTTGCCTAGAAATATCATGTTGAACAATGATGAATTGGAATTTGACAAGGCTCCTGAATTTCTGTTGGGTGAATATTAATTTTTAGTCCCTCCTATAAACCTAATATGTGGCAAGGATATTAAAAGTGTAACGTTTATGTAAATTAAGCTATCGGGCTAAATTATAAAACATACTGAAAACATTTTACTGAGGTTTTTTCTATTTGATGTATGTATTCTGCTGCTAAAAGATACTTCTGGATTATAGAGGGGTTTTTTAACTGCCAATAATATGTATGTTAGGGCCCTGATTTTTCAGATGTGCTGAGCGCACACTACTCTCACTGGCTTAAGCTGAGACTGTTGGTGCTCTGTGCTTTTTAGAGTCAGGCCCAGTCAATTTGAGAAAAGATTGATGTTCTTTTATTTTTTTTATATACCTTCCATTTCTTTTTGAAAAGGTGACGGTGGGTTTGGATCTGTGTACCGCGCATCATATGGTGGAGAAGAAGTAGCTGTAAAGATTTTTAATAAACATACTTCCCTCAGACTCTTACGACAAGTAAGAAATGTTGCCTCTTTTTATAGTGCTGCACTAGTAAAACTACAATAGTGAAGGGTTTAATAATGTTTAAGCACAGTCTCTGCCTTAATTCTGAATTTTCTGCCTTTTAGTAGTTAATATTGTTGAAACAAACCCAGTTCACCCCAGAACTATAAATATAATACATGCAGTATTTCACTTGATTTTACAATTTACAGGAGCTTGCAGTGCTTTGTCATCTCCATCACCCTAGCTTAGTGTCTTTGCTGGCTGCTGCAGTCCGTCCCCGGATGTTGGTAATGGAATTAGCCCCTAAGGGTTCTCTGGATCGTTTGCTTCAGCAAGATAGTTCAAGCTTAACTAAAACACTTCAGCACAGGATAGCTCTACATGTAGCAGATGGCTTAAGGTAAATATTCTTGAAATGCTAATTTTGGCACTGAAAAATATTGACAGTCTGAAAGTAGGAAAGCTTTCTCTTTTCCCTTCCTTGACTCTCCTTCTATACCGTGGGGGTGTATTCTCTTAGTCAAAGAAGTTCTATCTTTTTATATTTGATTTATTGAATAGAGGATACAGTCCTGTCTGTGTACTTGAAGCAGTGTATACAATTCTATTAAATTATGTAAGATCATTCAAAAAACTCTCTAGAAAGGTTATAATTTCTATTCAATTCTATAGCAGTTTTCCATAAGGGATTTGTTGACGTGGGCTACAAGAAGAACATTCTGTCAAGGGCATCTGCTACCATTACTTATTTGGGCCTCTGATGACATTTACTAGCTTATCCTTTCAAGATCTTAATCAACTGTAGGGCTAGACTATCATACATTCTTAATTTGTGTGTGTCCCAAAAGAGACAGAATTTTGTACTTTTTTTTTTTTAAATGTAGTCTAGGTTATTTGTTTTGTTGGTTTTCAAGGAAACGAACAAATAAAGGCAGAAAGCATAAAGTGACACCTCACCTGAAGGGCCAGGAACCGGAATACCACTCACAAGCAGTCAATACTTTTATATTTGGTCTATTCACTGTCTTTTCTCTTGTTTTTTCTATTCACAAGTGGGATTCACGTGAATGGAGAAAAAGCCAGAACTCTGGAACTTTAATTTTTCCCATTCTTTTTAACCTGAAAATCTGTGAATGTCTTTATAACGGCAAGGGAAATACGATTTTAAAATTACAAAATCTGGCAAGGAAGCTCAGGGGCAGGTGTAGGTGAAACTATGTTTATTTTTTGTTTAATTGGCTTCTTTTTGAAGTTCAAGACACCTCACTCTAAGTGAGGTGTCTTGAACTACAATACCAAGCTGTTCATGTGCCAACAACTGATATGTTGGGATAATTCCAAAACCATAATCCAGCAATCGGATATCATATTAGTGAACTTTTTCCTTTTGATGTCAGAATGATTAAAATTAATATCATGGCTTACTATCGTATTATTGATGCAGTCAGTGTAAATAGATAGATATGGATTTTAAATGCTTTCACCTAAGTACTTTTTTGTTAACAGGTATCTGCATTCCTCAATGATCATTTATCGAGATTTAAAGCCTCATAATGTGCTGCTCTTTACATTATATCCCAATTCAGCAGTCATTGCAAAGATTGCTGATTATGGCATTGCTCAGTATTGCTGCAGAATGGGGATAAAAACCTCAGAAGGCACACCAGGTATGGCAAAAAATGCTTTGTTGTCTTTTTTTGTTTTGTTAAAAAGAATAAGACAATATTTTGGAATTCCACCATAAGAAGTGTCCAATTAAGGAACAATCTACATTGCTGTGGTTCTCACCATGTTATAACTGATTAAAACAGATTTATATACCCTGGGCCTGATTCCCATTTACACTAAGGGGCCTTTTACACAATGTTGGCAGTATAATGGGGTGTTAAAAAGAATGTGTAAGTTAAATTACATTAAATGATCTTAATTATTTTTTCTTTTGTACAGATATGTTCAGTTTGAATATTTTTATGCTTATTATTTGATTAAAACAATATTCTAAATGTGGTTGGGTTTTAGTGGTCAGTAATGTGCGCTTTAGGGTTCTGATTTTTCAGAGGTGCTGAACACCTGCAGCTCCCGTTGACTTGAATTGGATCACGTTTACACCCATTTGAAGGCCCCTTTGCACTGCTAGAGCAATGAAAAAGTAGCCTTAGAGTAAATGAGCATTGGGGCCCATTGCCGTGAACATGAGGGCATGACTCCCATAGTGCAGTATCAGGCCCTGAGTTAGGATTGCAGGACGTGCCCTTCCTTTTCACTATTAAATAATAAAGCTCTTTTGATGGTTAGACTAATAGCACAGAAGCTTATTAACTGATTTACAGATACTTCTTTTACACTGACCTTCCATTTGCTCATTTCTTCTGTGATTTTCAGCATATGGACTGCTGCCAGTTCCAAAATAGTATGTAATTTTTTGTTAACTTCCTGTGGCCTTTTTCATCAAGAGGTATTTATTCTTAAAGGGACAGGCATGGCATCAGCCTGGCATGAATCATAGCTATTAATGAATCATTTATTTCCAGGATTTCGAGCACCAGAGGTTGCCAGAGGAAATGTGATTTACAATCAGCAAGCTGATGTGTATTCATTTGGCTTGCTTCTTTATGACATTTTAACAGCCGGAGGTAGAATAATAGAAGGCATGAAGTTTCCAAATGAATTTGATGAATTAGCAATTCATGGAAAATTACCAGGTATGTCATGTTTCTTCAAGATTTAACACTGGAACATACAGAGGGGAAAGATTATTTAAATCAGCGCCAGTACCAAATGACTGGAGGATAGCTAATGTGACACCAATTTTTAAAAAGGGCTCCAGAGGTGATCCCGAAAATTACAGAGCAGTAAGCCTGACTTCAGTACCCGGCAAACTGATTGAAACTATAGTAAAGAACAAAATTGTCAGACACATAGATGAACATAATTTGTTGGGGAAGAGTCAACATGTTTTTTGTAACGGGAAATCATGTCTCACCAATCTACTAGAATTCTTTGAGGGGATCAACAAGCATGTGGACAAGGGGGATGCAGTGGATATAATGTACTTAGATTTTCAGAAAGCCTTTTACAAGCTCCCTCACCAAAGGCTCTTAAGCAAAGTAAGCTGTCTTGGGATAAGAAGGAAGGTCCTCTCATGGATTGGTAACTTGTTAAAAAATAGGAAACAAAGGGTAGGAATAAATGGTCAGTTTTCAGAATGGAGAGAGGTAAATAGTGGGGTCCCCAAGGGTCTGTACTGGGCCCAGTCCTATTCAACATAGTCATAAAGGATCTGGAAAAAGGGGTAAACAGTGAGGTGGCAAAATTTGCAGATGATACAAAATTGCTCAAGATAGTTAAGTCCCAGGCAGACAGCGAAGAGCTGCAAAAGGATCTCTCAAAACTGGGTGACTGGGCAACAAAATGGCAGATGAACTTCAGTGTTGATAAATGCAAAGTAATGCACATTTGAAAATATAATCCCAGCTGTACATATATAATGATGGGGTCTAAATTAGCTGTTACCACTCAAGAAAGAGATCTTGGAGTCATTGTGAATAGTTCTCTGAAAATATCCACTCAATGTGAAGCGGCAGTCAAAAAAGCAAACCGAATGTTGGGAATCATTAAAAAAGGGATAGAAAATAAGACAGAAAAGATCATATTGCCTCTATATAAATCCATGGTACGCCCACATCTTGAATACTGCGTGCAGAGGTGGTTGCCCCATCTCAAAAAAGATATATTGTAATTGGAAAAGGTTCAGAAAAAGGCAACAAAAATGATTAGGGTTATGGAACGGTTTCCGTATGAGGAGAGATTAATAAGACTGGGATTTTTCAGCTTGGAAAAGATATCTCTAAGGTGGGATATGATAGAGGTCTATACAATCATGACTAGTGTGGAGAAGTAAACAAGGAAGTGATATTTACTCTGTCTCGTAACACAAGAACTAGGGGTCACCAAATGAAATTAATAGGCAGCAGGTTTAAAACAAACAAAAGGAAGTATTTTTTCACACTATGCACAGTCAACCTGTGGAACTCCTTGCCAGAGGATGTTGTGAAGGCCAAGACTATAACAGGGTTCAAAAAAGAACTAGATAAGTTCATGGAGGATAGGTCCATCAATGACTATTAGCCAGGAAGGGCAGGAATGGTATCCCTAGCCTCTGTTTGCCAGAAGCTGGGAATGGGCGATAGGGGATGGATCACTTGATGATTACCTGTTCTGTTCATTCCCTCTGGGGCACCTGGCATTGGCCACTGTTGGAAGACAGGATACTGGGCTAGATGGACCTTTGGTCTGACCCAGTATGGCCATTCTTATGTTCTTACAGTGATTGTCATACTGGCTAAGATAAATATTGCCACTTGTGTTGTATCCTATGTCTGACCATGGCCACTACTTGGAGGATAATGCAAAACAATGAGCAGTTTTTGAATTTGTCTAAAATTACATCCCATTTTCACACAGTGAGAAACTCAGATTTGGAGATATTGGGGCAACATCATCCCTGGTGTAACTTTATTCGAGATACATCAGGGATCAAATTGGTGCACTCCGTAAAGAAACAGGACTTTTGTAGGCTTAGAACTAAATTCAGACCTGGTCTAAGAGAGAAGATGTTCATTTTGTGGGCTGCATTTTTTTCATTAACCTTGTTTAATGTCATGTCCATATAAGGTGATACTGGGGATATCACTATACATTTTGATGGACAGAAAAAAAAACATTAATTCACCATAATTTAATATTTAAATTTTGGGTTTAGAACTCTCAGTGCCTAAGATGATGAGGTAAACCACTATGTGAGAATTTATCCTCATAAATCCCATAAATGTTATTGGGAGTTCCTGTGCAGTGTGCTGAAAATTCACCCGTATGATGAAAGACTTCCTCTAATTCTATTTAATACCATTCTCTCTGCCGAACAGAGATGAGTAAATTTTCAAAAGAGAGTGCATGGGCATTGTTGAAGTCCCCATTAAAAAGTCAGCATTTGCCAGCAGTTACTGCTTAGATCCAATTCTAAAATTAGGGAAATAGTGATGCCTTGGGCATCATGATGTCATTGTTGGTAATGACAACCACTCTAGCTGTGTAATGCCAATTTGCTGTTAATAGAACTTGAGCACTTAATCTCTATGCAGTTTGAAATTTTACCCTATTGTGGGATGTATCTCTGGGCAGCTTTGTAAGAAGTTGTGAGAAATTCTGGTAAGAAGAATGGTATTCATAACTCTCAGTCCTTAGTTGTGATAAATTGCACTAATTAGGCAATTATCTAATTAGCAGCACAAAATTTATATTTTAGATCCTGTCAAAGAATATGGGTGTGCCCCCTGGCCTGAAGTTGAAAGTTTAATCAGCAAGTGTTTGAAAGAAAACCCTCAGGAAAGACCTACATCTGCCCAGGTAGTTTGTGATTGTATTATGCAATTTTTGTGTAAGCTTCTACTGTTGACTTATTATGCTCTACCAATTCAAGAGGAAGTAGTGAATTTAAGTTAGGACTTGTCTATACAGTGTACATCTCTGGCATAGTCTGCATTCTAGTCCATGCTAGCAAATTGCATACTAACTGGCCCATGTGGATCCTGCTGGTGTGCACTAAAAGTTCCGTAGTGGGTGTTAATGTAGTCCTGTTTGAAACAGGACTACATTTAACATGCACTACGGAACTTCTGGGGTGCAACAGTAGGGTCCATACAGGCCAGTTAGTGTGCTACTCACCAGTGCACTAGAATTTACACCCCAGTGGTGCACCATGTGGACAAGCCCTTCGTAAGAAGTACAATATTTTCTCCTCACTATTTTGAACAGAAACATTTGTGCAACATACAAATTGGCCATTTTCTTTTATATTTTGCCATGAATCATCCAATGATGTTTCTGCCACTTCATTACTTGGTGATTAATACTCGTATATGCTAGCCACATAGGATTCGTGTCAGATAGACATTTTCAATTAACATTACACAACAAGAACTTGTTATAAAATTATGTATGCAGTTCATCTACACCACTCCGTACATATTCTAAAATGGTATAGATCTAAAAGCTACCATAGTGTCTTCTATCACTATACTACCTTGCTCTGTGATATTGGGTAAGATTTTCAAATGTGCCTTAAGTGACATACGAAACTAAGTCCCATTGACATTGTCCTGTAGTTTCAATTGGGAAAATGTATTCTTCACTTACACCTGAAAAACAGTAATGTAGTGCATAGTGACTGTGTACCTGCAGTACATGAGTAACCATTACATGCTGTGATACTGTGTACATAGATTGTACTTTATCCTTCAGAATGAAAAGTGCTATCTCTTTATTTACAGACTGTTGTTATCTTGGTTATCTTGTGTTGTCCTTTACAGGTTTATGATATTTTGAACTCAGCAAAGCTTATCTGTTTGATGAGATATATTTCAATACGCAGTGCCTTTACAGCAGAGTGCATGGTTGCTTCTAATCAAAGCTGCAAGAAGGCAGGGGTCTGGATAGGTAATGGAAATACAAAAAAAGGCCAGGTTTCGTTTATTGACTTAAATACAGACGACCAAACTTGTGAGGTAGGTGTGAAAGTTGTCATTTATTACTAACTCCTTGGCATTGATAGGTCTGGTGTTTCTATATTTACATATTAAATGCATTTTAACAATAGGGTATAGCATCTGGAAAGCCTAGCTCCCAGCTTTGACTGCTTTCATGCTGGACAGCCATATCAGCTACGTCTCATGGTCAAAATTCCAAAGGCATTTGATATAAGAATCTGCAGTGATACCATGAGATGAAGCAGAAAAATTGTCACTAGTTTTTTGGGGTTTTTTTTCTATGTAGACTTACCTTATGAAACTATAAAACATTAGAATTGATAGTTACTGTACTGACAGGGAGGTGGGGACTTTGAGGCTTAATTCCCTATGTCTGAAAAGTGCTTTGAGATCCTCAGATCAAAAGGGCCACAGAAATGCTTCTTTTTTAAGAGCAATTACTGATAGTGTCTCAGGGAGGGGCATAGCTAGAAGTCATGGGATGGAACTGAGCAAAGTGAAATTTAAGCTGATTATCATGAGACTTCCTGACAAGTGAAGCTGGTTAGCTTATGGAATACAGAGCAGGGGCAAAGCCCCTGGGATCTAGACTTGATAATCTTTCAAGGTTCCTTCCAGCTCTACATTTCTATCATTCTGTGATCATCTTCTCCTCCCTCCTGTCCATCCAACACCCCTCACAATATTGTCCTACCACCAGTGCATTTCTTTCTTCCAGTGGGCTGGCTGTACGCCAACCCTCAGCCTTTTTGCACTGAGGCCAGAACACAGACCAATAATCCTGATAACCCTCCATGCCAATACAATTTCCTGTAATTCCCACTCCTCTCAGGAGACTCTCACTGCCATGGGATGCACCCACCAAATGTCTCCATTTAGTTTCTGGAGTTCCCATATCCAATATTGTCACAAGAAGCAGATTTGCAAACTGGAAGCTGGATTACCCAGGCTAGGTATGCAAAGTTGCACGTGTTTCACTACCAGCACTGGATATGACTCATCACAGAGCATATTAAAAGAAGGATTTCTGTGACACAACAGACAGTAGTGAGACACAGGCATGAGATAGCAGATACTGTGTTACATTTGAAACTGCTGCTTTCTGGGGGGAGGGCGGGATTTTTTAAAATGAAATATTTAGATCTGTGCTTTATTTCCATCAATTAAACTGTGCCACAGAAAGTACCATAAGTGCAGTTCCATTTCTTTGCTCCTCTAACAGCTTTCAGATCTTCATTAGCTGCTATATGCTGAGAATGTATGTGTTCCTGGCAGGGGCTGCATGAGCTTTTTTATGTATCGGGGTAGCCGTGTTAGTCTGTATCTACAAAAACAACAAGGAGTCCGGTGGCACCTTAAAGACTAACAGATTTATTTGGGCATAAGCTTTCGTGGGTAAAAACCTCACACTGATGCATCCGAAGAAGTGAGGTTTTTACCCACGAAAGCTTATGCCCAAATAAATCTGTTAGTCTTTAAGGTGCCACCAGACTCCTTGTTGTTTTTATGAGCTTTTTTGCCGCCCCAAGCACGGCAGGCAGGCTGCCTTCGGCGGCTTGCCTGTGGGAGGTCTGCCGGTCCTGCGGCTTCGGCGTACCCGCCGCCGAATTGCCGCCAAATCCACGGGACCGGCGGACCTCCCGCAGGCAAGCCGCCGAAGGCTGCCTGACTGCTGCCCTCGCAGGGACCGGCAGGGCGCCCCCTGCAGCTTGCTGCCCCAGGCATGCGCTTGGAGCGCTGGTGCCTGGAGCCGCCGCTGGTTCCTGGTAGTTAGTTAATTAATGTGTTAGATCACCATGCTGGCCTTCTCACAGCATTGGGCAGACAGATGGTGCATTCTTAAAAGGACAGGCATGGCATCAGCCTGCCATGGATCATAGCTATTTATGAATCATTTATTTTCAGGATTTTGAATGCCAGAGGTTGCCAGAGGAAAAGTTGAAAGTATCTTCTGCTAATTGGGGATTTCTTTCCATGGGGAAGAAAGGCCTTCTTCCCAGAAGGGCCTAGTGTTTTTACTTTATGCAATTCAGTAGTGTAATCCTTGCTGAAAAATAACCAGGCTGCTTTTAATTATTTTTTCTTGACACAGGACATTGCAGATGGAAGAATCTTGTGTTTGGCTTTAGTGACTCTTCCTACAGAGAGAGAAAACTGGGTTGTGGCAGGAACACAGTCTGGTTCCCTGTGGGCATTTAATACAGAAGACGGAAAAAACAAACACCATCTTCAGAAAATGTCAGATTCTGTTACCTGTTTATACTGCAACTTTTTTTCAAAGCAAAGGTATCATTTAGAGTTTAAACATTATGGGCTACATTTTGAAATCTGACTTCACAGCAATATTCACTAAATGGGTGGTTGTACGTGTATTGTGCCTGAAGCTGCATACTTTGCACAGGTGTTACTTGCTCACAGGCAGAGCTTAAATGCTTATTTTTGGACATGTGGCCCTCTGGTCACTTTTAGTGACCAATAAAACCTCTGATCTGCCAGACACTTCTGTTTTTAAATCTTCTTTAATGAACGTCCTTTCATGAGGCAATTCTGGAATTTATAATTTCATTTCAGCAAACAGAAGAATTTTTTTCTGGTGGGAACCGCTGATGGCAAAGTAGCAGTTTTTGAAGACCAAGTAGTAAAGGTAAATTTAACACATATAGTACTCTCTTTAAAAAAACGTGATCAGTAATATGTAAAGTAACTACTTCTAATAGCTTTCTTTCATGCAGTTTACAAAAAAAAAAAAGGGGGGGGGGGGTTGCTGAAACCAAAACCCAGTGGCACAAAGGTGTTATAAAGGTATAGAAAATCTGCCCCTGTATGTGTTCTGTGTTTGATTTGTCAATTTCTAAGTTGCCTTGTATAAGTATATATTGTATGTTTCTAATGGAGGGTATATTTTCTTCTTACAGTGCAAGGGTGCAGCACCTTTGAAGATATTAACTATAGGGAATGTCAGCACACCACTTATGTGCTTAAGTGAATCCACATATGCATCTGAAAAAAATATAGTCTGGGGAAGCTGTGGAACAAAGATCATATCATTATCTGGTGATATATCTATTCAAAAACTGATTGAGACAAAGACAAGTCAGCTGTGAGTATTTTATACTAATCTAATTTGGTTCTTCTTGTTTTCATTAACATTTTATGTCAGTGTTTTGTTTGAGAATCCTGTCCTATTGCTTGTTCTTTGTAAATACCTTATTTCCATTTTTTTCCTTTAATAATATTTTAAAAAAATAAAAGATCAACGGATACTTAAGGTATTTGTTCTAGTTTTAAAGCAAACATTAAGTAGTATGCATTTTTATTTTACAAATGTGGCAGAAGTAGATGTATGTTTTATGAATGTATAAATGCTATTGGGCAAATGCACACATGGGAAGAATTTGCTCAACTCCGATTTATTTCATTGAGAGCCATGTACATGCATTGAGCATAGGATTTACCCTATATAATTATACTTATAAAGGTATGTGTATACGTCTTTGCCCAATATACATACATTGCATATAATTCCTCACCTCTAATTATTAAGAGGCTAAAATTTTATTGTGATGAAGATACCAAAGGTCTTATTCATGTATCAGACTGTGAGGCTGAAGTTGTTGAGCGTACAGTCCTCACCCCTAATCAGTGAGGCAGAAGGATGCTCTTTTCAAATTGCAGAGATATTATGATAAAAGTTTGCACAATCATGGGATTTGTAAGAGATTCAAATTACTAAGTACTCAAAAAGGTTGCTACTAGAGTTAAAAACAGAAGTAAAGCAGACTGGGCAGAATCAGGCTGCACCCATTTTGGGTCTGGCCCTGTGTTGTGCTGAGCAGCTCTCCAAAAGAAGTCAAAAGTCCTTAGCAGCTTGCAGGATCTGGCCCTTTGTTAGAATAGGAAGAAGCGGTGTTTGTTCTGTTGTGACCTGACAAATATGTTTAGGGAAAATTTGTTAATAGATACTGAACTTGGTTCTGCTTCCACATAATTCAGTGGTAAAACATCCATTGACTTGGTTGGGAGCAGGAGCAAGCACATTAAGATTTCCCATATCTTGGACCAATAGTTACATTATAGGCCTGAATCTGATCTCACTTACAATGGTTTTATACTGGTGTAACTCCACAGATTGTAAACATTCAGATCAGATCCTTTATTTTTAAATTGATCCAGGCCCACTTTGTTTTTAGGCTTCGTGGGTCTGTAATTGTAGGCAGAGCTTACCTATTAGGAATATAGTATACATTTAATATTTTTTTCCTCTTTCTTAGATTCTGTCACAAGGCTTACAGTGATGCAAACATTATTTCAATAGCAGTGGACAAATCCATCTACTTGGCTAAGAAAAACAGCCATTTTGTGGAAGTTTGGGATAAGAAAACAGAGAAACTTTGTGAACTAATTGACTGTGCACATTTTCTAAAGTAAGTGTCTTATTTTATACTGTTGGTGTTGTGTGTAATAGATGAATAGTGGATTCTTCTGGGAGATTGTCTAGTGAAATACTTCACATTTTGGGGGTGGTGGGGAAGGGAATCACTGGTGAGACCAGTTCTGTTGTCAGGCATGGCTTTTCTTTCCCCTCTTCTGGTCCTAAATTTTGGACTGGTCCAGGCAGGCTCTCAGGATTTTTCCATGGCCTTCATTCTTGAGCTTCAATTAATTTTACACCAAATGTTTATTTCACTGACTACATGTAACCCCAGATTAATGCTTTAACTCTGTGGGACTCCTGTCCATGCCACCACAGCTATGGACTGACATAGGATAGTTAGGTAACATTATTATCTCCCACCCTTTGCTCCATGCCCAGATTGAGAACACAGGCAACATATCTGAGAATTTCAGATAGCAAAATTAAACCACCCTATCTATTGCTCCTGTCCTTCAGAGCCTAACCCTGCAAGGTATTAAATGCCTCTGGGCCTTTTGAGTGCCCTCAAATCCCATTGTGAACTCAAGAAACTGTGAGAGTGTGACGCTGAGATGAGGGCATATCAGGAGTTACCCAGGAGATACTCAACAGCTCACGGCTTCTGCCTTCAAGAAAAGAGATTCTAAGATGCCAGAAGTGATCACCATTAGTATTAATCCATGATGTAGTAGCTTTTCCTCCAATGTATAAAATGCCCATACTGGATCCTCTGGGGACCATAACTATAACACGTATACTATATGCAAATATATACAACTACACACATATGGTACACACAACTATATGTATGTGCATTAATTGAAAATAAATCTACTCGTGCTAATAAAATTACTCATATTAGCACATTGCAAGAGGAAATCCTGGCACCTGAAGGGATTGCATTTTTTGGCAGGGGAGGGTGTTTTAATTTCTTTTGGTCTGTACAGGGATTTCTCTTCCCCACCCTCTGCCAGTCTTTCTTTTTCATATAGGAGAGAATTTAGAATATGGAAGGGAAGGTTTCATTTCTGAGTTTCTCTTATCCCCAATCCATAAACAGTACTAATTAGATTGGTAACCAAAATACCTTAAAATAGAGTCCCCATCCTCAAATTACCTCCTGCTAGGCTACACAAGCCTAGTTAATTTAACTCTTTGAACACACTTATCTTCCCACCTAACAAAGCTGGTGAAAAGGAGTGCTGTATGTCAAGTCTGTTTCATTCTCATGCTGTCATGAGCAGTAGCATTCCCTTTTAAAGACTAGAACAGGGAATTATTCAAATACAGCTTTGAGAGTCAAAAAGAAAGAAGAGCTACCCGTGTCCAATTTAAAGCCCTGTTCAGGTTGCCCAAGTTAAGACTGATGGTTCTTAAAACTTCAGTAGTTTCTTCCCAACTTGTTTAATTTAAGGAATTTCTTAGGTTGGGATTCATGCAGTCTGCATTGACACCAGATTGAAAATATTTTGTCCCGTGCAAGGGCATCAATTTAGCAATTATCCAATGAAATATCCATGCATGCAAGCAATTTCTAATACAAAATCTCTTCATATTTTTAGGGAGGAAGTGGTGAAACTAAATAAAGAATCAAAACATACAGTGGCTTATTCTGGAAGAGTGAAGACCATCTGTCTACAAAAAAATTCTGCCCTCTGGATAGGAACAGGAGGAGGACATATCCTGCTGCTTGATTTAACAACACGTCGTCCTATACGAATAATACACGATTTTTGTGACTCTGTTCGAGTCATGCTGACAGCCCAGCTAGGTAAATATTCAAAAGAAACAATCTTTCATTATAGAATTATTGACAATTCCTGTTTGACATGACATTCCGTGAACTAATTAGAATATTCATTTTTTTCATTCACTCTATTCTATTTGCATGTTTAATCTAACCAATCTAAATCCTTATATGAGTAAATACCAAAGAATGTGCTACTGGTGCTAGATGTGACAGCAGTGGCTCCCGCACTTTTTCTATGAAAGCTCCACTTGTGACCAGTCGCATCTCGCTCACGCCCCTTTTATGCCATACCCCCCGCACACTTGCCACCATCCTTCTGTCCATTTTATTTCTCCTGTTCTGTCTGCCTGTTTTCTCTTTCTTCATTCTCTCCCTTTTTCCTTCTCTCTCTCTCTCTGAATATGTATGTAGAAAGCAACAAGATTATACATAATCATTCTTTTTTGCTTATTTGATTTGTGGCGCCCACTCTCAGTTCCCACTCAGCAGAACTCTAATTGGTGCCTCCATAGGGCAGAGTTACATGTGCAGCTTGCAATTCAGCTGTGTGAAGTAGGAGCAGAGAATAGAAACTTGGGTTAGGGGGCTGCTGTCAGAGCCTACAGCTTTGTATGTATGAGCTGCTCCTGTCGCCATGGCCACCTCTGTGAGCCACTGTGGAAGCAGGAACTGAAGGTGGGTGGTTTTAAAGGAGTTACTTCTGCTTTACACATAGCTACAAGAGCACATGTGCAGAGGGGTCAGATTTGGGGTATGGTAATTTTCTCCATCCCCACTGTTCTTCTGTGTCGCCCAGACTAATCTAGACATCCCCAGGTTACAATACATTATAGTGCAGGGATGGAAAACTTAGGTATATGTATTATAATTAAATACTCTGGGATACTGCACATGGACTACATTCACCTTCTAAGAAACACCCCTGAGCTGCATCTCCAGTGTCAGCATGGAATAAAGCATGCCCATAGTAGGAAAAGTGACTCTAAAGCTAACATTGTGGAGTTCCCACACTTACTATATTCCTGTTCATTAATTCCATACTTTAAAGCTCTGATATCTTCTCATTAGCTCATGTGTATGTCTACCCACGCTGGGAATCACACCTGCCAGCAGCTGTGTAGACATCCTTAGTCTGCTCTGTTTGTACTGTGAGTTTAATAAAAGTTCATATCCTTCCATGCTTCAACACTAAAAACTAAACATGGCATCGTCGCCAAAAATTCTCACTTCACTGCCATTTTTTTTTTTTTAAACTTTTGGCAATCTGTAGTGTATTCACAAACAGCATCTTCTTTACAACCTGTTTACGTTAACTGTATACACTGATAACCCAGAATTTCCTCTAATGGTTTTCTGTAACAAAAATGCATACTGTGCTTACCTAGAATCCTGAAATGGGAAATCTGTACAATCCAGAAGGGGACAGGCACACTGTTCCAGACGTCAGTCACCCATAGCGGGCAGAGCTAGCCCAGCACGAGGAGGGTGCACTGTGTATTTTCATAGTGGGATAACTGCTGCTCTAGCAAGCACTCCCTGCGAGACCCAAGAGGAATTTTGGCTGATTCAGGCAGAAGCCCTCCTGGGACTCCCGGCATGGCCCCTTAAACCTTCCACAATCCCAGATTTGGTAATAAACCAAAATCTAGCCTTATATATGCTCCATAAGACACAGGGACGAAGCCTGTCCTCACACCCAAATTCATAAAACTTTAACATATTTTCACTGCATTTTTTTCTTTACTCTACCCAGTGAGGCTGGATGGGTGTAAATGAAGGTAAATGATTTACAATATTTATGTAATTTGTCCTTTATCTCTGATAAATCCCCCATATTAAATGGGGGCGCGCACACACACACACACACACACACACACACACACACACACACACACTGCATTTTTTCATGTCACTTTGATTGGTAATGTTGAATTTTGATTTTTTCTAACAGTAAAATGTATAATATGCATTAGTTTACTGAAATCTGCTTTCTTTTCTTTCAATGGTGCATGTAATCTGCTTCTTCTGCTCTTAAATGAAGTGAAATCCAAGTGCTAGTTAAAATTAAAATCTAACATTTTATTTTTGAAAAGGGAGCCTCAAGAACGTCGTGCTGGTTTTGGGGTACTGCTATAAATGTAATGAAGACAACAAACATCAGAAAGGTATCTGGTAATTTATTTTACTAATCCATATTACTTACGTTGTAAAAAATACTGTACTTTTTTTTTTTTTTTAAGATGTCTGTTAGGAATTTGATTATATCATTTGATATATTTTCATTGCAGCTTTGTGGTGATTTATTGTTGTCTGTGTGTTTCTAGACTCCTGCCAAAATGAGCCTGTAAAATATAACAATGGCATATTAATATAAAATTAAATGTGATATTAGGGATGGGTTGATTTGGATAAAAGAAGAACCAGACAAACCTTTGCTCAAAATTCTAACTGAACCAGAACCTCTTTTAAGGGTCCCTGATTATAACTGTAATAAAATCCTTTGCCTCTTTACTGTATGTAACAATATCCAAAATTATACCTACAGTAATCAGAATTGAGACTAGGAAGCCTTATCCCACAAGCCTTTTTCACGCAAGTAGTCCTTTCATCCCCTTACTCCACTGAAACCAGTGAGACTGCTTCGAGAAGACAGGACTTACTCCCTGCATAAGGGTTGCGGGACTGGGCTCACACCCAATATAATCTGAGCCATAGTAAATGTAGGGTTCAAATCTGTTTTAATTCTATTTTAATGATTTGGGCCTGATTCTCATTTACACTAAAGCTCATTTACATTTCCAGTCTATTATTTCTGACTGTAATTAAAAACAAAGCAGCAGAATCACATTTGTAATGCAATAATTGTATCTGTGTAGTACTTTTCAATGTTTTTTAAAATTATTTTTACAGAGCTGCAGTCGTGTATGTCTGTGTGGGACATTAAGCTGCCCCATGAAGTACAAAACCTGAAAAAGCACATTGAAGTGAGACAGGAATTAGCAGAAAAAATGAGAAATTTTTCTTTGGATTAAGGAACCCTAGACAAGTGGAGAGTCACCTTGTTTCCCATTGGTTTAAATTTTTACTATATATTGCATTACTTTTTTGTTTAAGAAACAAAGGGAAGTGATGGTTGTTCCTCAAAATCATGAAATATCAGAAGAAATAAGGAATGTTTTTATTTATAATATTTTGATTTATAATATTTTGAAGGAGTCAAAACTATTCACTCAATCTGCTTTCAGCAACACTGGTATAAATCCAAAGTATCTTTATTGGTATGTTTCTGATTTTGGTTACACCAGCATAAATCCAGAGTAACTCCAGAGGATTAGATTCTGCTCCTAGTTACATCCATCTATATGCAGAGTAACTTCATTAAGTTGACACTGTAAATCAGAGCAACGTTTAGGCCTCACTAGATAGTCTGCTGCCTGCATAGGTGAACGTTACTGATGGTTAATGTTATTAGTTAAACTCATATTTAATAATTTTGATTATATGAAAGAAAACATTGTCCATTATCTGATGGATAGTACAGCTAGTTAGTGAAATGTACACAGCCTAATTTACAAAGCACAGGCTGAATAGGTCAGGCTTTTTTCTTTCCTATGTACATTAGAGTTTGGCAGTTTTCAGTCTGTTCATAAAAGGCTGTGCACTGCAACAGCAAAGACAAAATTCAGAATGAAAGTGTCTGTCAAGATAGTGCCTTTTTTTGACTATGAGTGTATGCCTGGCACTGGGCAATGCAATCTCATTAATAGAAACACTATTGTTTCATAACACATTCACACATGTAATTCTACAACTCCCTTTGCATGGTCAAGAGAACGCAGGGTAAAATTCTAGTTCTGAATGTTGCTGTAAATAGTACACAGAATGTGGTATGACATGGTGCTTCTCAGGTAGCTATAAAGTGCCTATGGAGTATTCACGCAATAGAATTGTCCAGTTTGCTTATCTCAGTCTGAAAAAGAATGAAAACTATAGTATTCATATTTACCATGTGTGCAAAGTTTACCATCCAGCCTTGTTATGAGCCCTTATATTGATATTTTTGTAGTATGTAGTGGAGCCTGCAGGCATCCAAGAATGGGCTACTTCTTGCCTTGTGTAACCCCACTGTGAGACTGCTCACACACACACCTACCTTTATTCTGGAGATACCATTTTATTGCTCTATATCCATTAACCCAATTGTCTGTCAGCATGACTCGGTGCCTTACTTCTGTCCTTCATACCACAGACACGTGTCTTGATCCCTAAGACCAAGAGCATCTTCACCATAACAAGCCTGCAATGCCAGGGAACAAAAAACCCAAAGCTGTGCAGCAGAGCAAGGTGTTGCCACCAAACAAGTCCCCCTCCCTCCAATCTTTTACAGTTATAAATAATTCCCAAAATAGGATAACAGAGAGCATAGAACCTTCTCAAAATGAATCAATGTTTGGCTATTTGGATTCTTTTCATATGTGCACTGTTTATAATGTGTTTGTGTTGTATTATGTGCTATGAATAATGCTATTTATATGGGATTTTATAATGCAAAAAATACATTATTTTTATCATAAAGAAATAAACTTAAATATCTAATGTTATTTCACGTGCTGAAGTCAGTTTATAAATCATGTTGAAGTGTAAGCCTTGTATCTATTTATTGGAACACTATTTTGTGGATATACATTTTCATGGACAATTTTCCAATAGTATGCTTTATTTCTCACAGCATTTCTATATAGCGGGGGCCTGACCGCTTATGTGCAGGAGTCTATCAAATTCGCAGCCATGAAAATTGTGTCATGGACTGTGAAATCTGGTCTTTTTGTGTAACTTTTACCCTATGGTATAGAGTAAAAAGTACACAAAAGTACACAACATTTCTCAGATTGGTGGTCCTGACTCAAAAGGGGGTCACAAGCCTATTGTGGGGAGGGTTGTTCATGGTATTGCCATCATTACTTCTGCACTGTTGAGGGCAGCTACGCTGCCTTCAGAGCTGGGTGCCTGGCCAGAGGCCGATGCTTTCCGGCCACCAACCCCATCAGCCTCCTGCAGAGGAGACGGGAAGGGCTCGATGGCCAGAGTATACAACTTGGCTGACAGCAGACAGCCTTGACGCACCTCTCATCTGAAGCTGATGGGTTCGGTCAGGGTCCAGTTGAGCTTGACCAAACACCCAGCAGAAGTGTACAGCAGCTGAAGAAAACCCGCAAACTGGGGCCCAAAGCCAAATGCCTGCAGAGTGCCCAGGAGATACTCGTGGTCCACCCTGTTCAACACCTTCTTCTGGTCCAAGGACAGGAGGGCAAATGACCCATCCCTACACCCAAGCTCAAGGATGTCCCAGACAAGATAAAAATTATTGAAGATGGTACGGCCCAGGACAGCGTAGGTCTGGTCGCAGTGGACCACATCCGCCACATGGACCCCAGTCACAGCAAGAGGGCCTTCGCTATGACCTTGTTGTCTATGCTGAGGAGCAAGACGGTCCCCCACCTTAGGCAGCAGAGCCAGCACTCCAATCACTTAAACAATTAAATCCCACAGGATGGACCTGACTGTGCCTAAGTAACAGATTAGAATGGGTTGGGCAGGACTAAACAACTAATTAGCCCATTAGCACAGAGGGCATAAGAAGGCACAGGAAGTAAGTGCTGGGGGGGGGGGGAGCTAATGGAGCCAGAACCAAGAAGGATCTCTGGGTGGAGAGATCTCTTTCCTGTCCTGTCGTGGGCAGAGGGGTTTGGAGAAATTAGTGCTGTAAATGATGCGGTGTGTGGATGAGAAAGGTGGTGGGAAGAGCAAAGTAAATGAACTACTCTGTAATATTTAGCCACTGACGTTTCCAAGTAGTCTGTGTAGACCGGCGCACAGAAGATTGTTTAAGAACAAGTCAGACAAACACCTACCAGGGCTGGTCTAGGTATATTTCGTCCTTCCTCAGCACATGGAGCTGGACTAGGTGACCTCAAGGTCCCTTCCAGCCCTACATTTCTACCATTCTGTGCTTCTATAATTTTATTAGCATGACCTATGAAGATAATAATATAAAGGCATCTTTTCTTTTCCAAGTCTGTTAAACTGGGAGGCTTAAAGTTTAAATAGTAAAAAAAAATATTTACAACTTATCATCCCTTTAGCAGGAACAGAAGAATTCAGCTTATGACGACTCTTGAACTTTATTTAAACTTTTCTGAGTATTAATTTCAGTCCAATTCGTCTTAGAACACAGATTTTTTAGGAGGTACTTGTGAGAATTCAGACAAGAAAAGGCAGCAGAGTGATTGAAATACTTGTAAAAGCCCTTTAATGAAAAACCATTTAACATACTTGGACTGCTGTTACGTGACAGTTTCCTGCAT